TGCTGAATGTCTCCACCTTTGGCTGGATTGACTTCTTTTGTCATGGCATCAAATCAAGACCAAAATGACAAAAATTCTGCCTAATTTAAAACAAAACAATGACCACAATGGACCCCAGGAGTGGACTAAACTGAAACTTGCCATTCTAAATTAAATATTCTAAGAATATCTGTATGAAATTCTACAGGGAAAATAGTTACATTAATTTAACTTCTCTTGATGGAAACATCTATAACACAAATGATAGTTTGCCAACTGTGTTAATCATTTGCAAAGCATTCATCTCTGAACAGTTCATAAGTACCAGGATGCTTTCAGAAGTCTTGGATCTAAATGGAAGACTGAACCAATGCACATTATCATTGATGATAATCCTGTGACACTAAGACTGAGTCATTAAAAATGGCAACAAAAATAAATGCAAAATTTCTAAAGTAAAATTCAACAAGAAAATCATTACCTGGCCTGGAACAATAGTATGTGTGAAAAGCTTATTCAGTTCCACTAGTTTATTGGGAGTGATGTTAAATTTCAGTGCTATGGAGTTTAGGGTGTCCTGGCTTCCAGCCTAGAATAATCAAACAAACAAGATTCAATACACAAAGCAAAAAGCAAACAAAACCTTCCTCTTGATAGTCAATATTAATCTATTTGTGATATGAGTGAATAAAAATGTAACACATACATCCAAATGTATTATGAAACAAGCGAATACATTCTCAATTCTTAACAAAAAAAAGTCTTAGATATTATTCATTTCTGGACTCCCTTATCTTCACATTTCACTGTCCACTAATAGATTTCTAAACTTACTCTGGCACAACTTAGGTGTATGGAGTAGAGGGCACGTGAGGTATAATATAAAGCTAAGAAGAAAAGAAATATTACAGACAGTACCACTCCTAAGGGTAATAGGTCTACTTTTTCTCTTTGCATTTTTCTGTCTTGTCTATTTGCCTGTTTCTTTACTGTACTTTAGGCTCCTGGATTGTGGCCTGTTAATGACCTTTTTCCCCACAGTGCCTGACACATAAAAGGCACTTAAATATTTGATGAATGAAAAAAGTGAAAGGCAGGGAAATCTAAAAGAACTTCAGATTAGCTACAAAAATTGTTCACTGACATTAAAAACGACAATTTTCCATGGCCAGCCAAATTAGTGTTATTCTCTAAGTCTATAAAACTTGTGATATGTCTCAGGTGTACATGTTTCTTTCCTTCTCTAATAGAAGGGGAATAGGAATAAAAAGGGCAGTAAGAAGATGTGAAACTTCAGTGAAAAACCTCCACCCAAAAAGAAGTCTGCTGCCTCCGGTAAGGTCAAAATCCCAGGAAAGACTCCCTGTCCAGGGTCACTGGATGGAACTTGTTAGCGGGAGGTCATTCTGGCAAGTGTCACTGAGAAGTTCCCACCTATAGCCCTGGGTCAACACTGGTGGCTGACCCTGTAAGCAGAACTGGCTCCACCAGGGGAGCCTTGAATTATAGGTGGAAATTTGAGGTGGCTGCAGGAGGTTGTGGACAGGTGCAAAGGTACAGATGTAGAATTCAACTTACCACTCACTGCCCTTAAGTGTCAAAAACCCACCAACTAGGGCTTCCCTGCCGACGCAGGGGACACGGGTTCGTGCCCCGGTCCGGGAGGATCCCACATGCCGCGGAGCGGCTGGGCCCGTGAGCCATGGCCACTGAGCCTGTGCGTCCAGAGCCTGTGCTACGCAACGGGAGAGGCCACAACAGTGAGAGGCCCGCATACCGCAAAAAAAAAAAAAAAAAAAAAAAAACCAACAACTGATGAACTGTCTCAGGCTAACCAAGTTCATAGTTACAGACTGCATTAAAATTACCTCAACATATTTCTAGAGCAAGACATAAATACGTATATTTTTAAAAAATCATTGAGAACTTAACCTATGCCCCTACCCTACCCTGAGCAAAATCACCTGTACTAAAGTGAAAAAACTTTTTTAAAATATTTTTTTTCAAATATTATACAATTTACATAATATATTCAAATCCGGGGGGTTTCAGGGTTTAGCGTCAGTATAAGACACAGATTGATAATATAGACCAGAGCCAGACTGCTGGACCTGAATTCCAAATCTGCCACTTGCCAGCTGTGTGATCTTGGGTCATTTGTTTAACTTCTCTGTACCTCAGTTTCTTCATCCAAACTGAGATACATAATTGTAATTTCTAATTCAAGAGCACTTACTTTATGGCAAGTGATCAATAAATTGGCTTCATATTTTTACACAAACACTTGAAGATACTATGTATAGGGGTTTCACGAAAGGAGAAAAATTTTAACAATCTGCCGTTATTACACAAGGATAAGACATACATATGGAACCAAGTTACAGACCCTGGGAGGGATACTGGTATCATTACATATTTGAAACTAAACAGAATGCTTGAACATCCACAGCTCTGGAGCAATATAAGCAATCGGGTAAGGGGTTCCGGTCATGGTTCTCTAAACATGAAGTTATGAATCACCTTTTATTTCCGAAGACAGGTACACAAAGTAACTTGCCAACTAAAACTAATCTCCATAACATAAATCAATCAGGTGGATAGATATGAATTACTAATTTGATCACCTGTTTATATGAATTAATTTGGGGTTGATTTCTTTTTATTCTCACTGCATTATTTAGTACATGCTATGTGAAGCATCTCCTAGCAAAGATACTTCTCATTTCCTTGGAGGGGCTCGTGAATCACACTGTAGGATACACACAGGGCTTTAGAATTAATATTGTTATTAATGATAAATAATCCAACACTTCCTCAGTATCTTCCAGGAGGTAAGGAACTGTGCTAGGTGTTATGGGGATCAACAATATATTGTAGACAGCGGTAATGTGAGATATATAATCACCCCCAAATCCTTTCTGGAAAGGACCAAGCCTATAAACCATAGAAAGATGCCTAGGGATGTTCACAGAGCCCTGAGCATGAAATGCTGGTGCCAGGTTCTTCAGTGTGATGCTACAGAAGCTTGGAGAGGATTCACCATTCCAGAAGAAATGGCAGGGAGGGACAGGCCTCGCTGCTTGCCTCATATAGAGCCTGGCACGGCACACAGATAATGAGTAGAAAATAAATACACATGGGCTTCCCTGGTGGCTCAGTGGTTGAGAGTCCGCCTGCCGATGCAGGGGATGCGGGTTCGTGCCCCAGTCCGGGAAGATCCCACATGCCACGGAGCAGCTGGGCCCGTGAGCCATGGCTGTTGAGCCTGTGCGTCCGGAGCCTGTGCTCCGCAACGGGAGAGGCCACAACAGTGAGAGGCCCGCGTACAACAACAACAACAACAACAACAAAAAATACACATGAGGAAAACACAGGGGCAATGGCAACTGCACTTAATTTCTTTCTAGAAGTCAGAGATCACTCTTCAGCAATGCTGGTTCAAAGTGAATTAAAACAGATCTATAACTGAGTGCCCACTTTACGCCAGGCCTAGGATAAGTAGACACAGCTCCTGGGCTCCAGGAGCTCATGGCGCAGTGAGAGAGCTGAGCACATTAACGTGGAAGTGCAGTAACAGACACATGCGCTGCATTATTCATGTGCTGATTCAACCATATGGAGGCCTATACCCTGCAAGTACCAGAAACAGAGTGGTGACCAAAGAGGGATCTAGTCTCTCTCCGTGGGTATATGAATTAAGGCACAATCTAGATACAATAATCACACTGGTGAATCAATATTGTAAAACGGACATAAACTATGTAAAGGAACGTGATTCCATGAGACAGAAAAATGAAGGGATCTGGCGTAGACTTGCTGGATGGTCACGGAAAGGAAGACTGAACACAGAGAGTAATGGGAAGAAGATGTTAAGGCTAAGGTTCTGGTTTGTAGAAATGTATGGATGATGGAGCCACTGCTTCTTGAACAAAGACCAAGCACGGAGGTCTAAGTTAATGTTTGAGTAGACAGCTGAATCTTTGGTTTGGGAACTCAGAAAGCATGTCTGGGATGGAGACCTAAAACTGGTCATCCTTGGCATATCAAAAGGTAATTCAAGTAACAGGTATACCCAGGGAAAAAATAAGGAAGGAAGAGAAATGACTAAGGGGCAAGATGTGTCAGGGAGAAACATGTAAATCTAGTGGTATTAACAAACTTTCATTCTACCTGTTTATACTTACAGTGTATTCCATAGTACCCTGGGGCTTCTGAACCACCATCTTCTTTTCTTTTTTATCATGTGTTTTGTTTTGATTGTCATCTGAAGAATAAAATGTTTATAAGTGAATGATTTCATTTTCAGAAATTGAGGATAGGGTAATCTACAGTATATTAAAACCCACTTTTGAATTGACTTTGAAAAAAAAGATTAAAAGTGGACTAAATGTACAAATAGACCAAACTCATAAAAACATATTGTTCATCCATGTATACTTGAATAAATGATTAATGTTAACTGTGATCAAATAGTACAAATAACAATGAGGTTATGCTTTATAGTTATTCAAGTATTCGTTTAAATGATAATGTATAAAGACGAAGTTAAAGTAAAACTAGTACAGTCATGATATAAGTGATGTATAATAATGTATAATGTAAATCAGTACAGCCCTTTTAGAAGGTGATTTGTCAATATGTAACAATAGCTATAAAAATGTTCATTCTTTGACTCAGTAATCTTTCCCTTATTTATCCTAAGGAAAAATTCAAAAGAAGAAAAATGCTATGCACAGCATATGGTAACTGCAGTATTATTTATAATAATGAAAACTTGTAAAGACCTATATGTTCAACAACATATTAAGTTGGACCACAGATTTTGCTATTTTTAAGGGTCAAACTGGTCAACCTGATAGTCTGGCAGCTACATATGATTCAACCTAATTGTTATGATTAAATGTATCAACCCAGACACTGAAAACCAGAGAGACATATAACAATGGATACAAATTAAGTGACAAAAAGTACAAAATTGAATTAACTATGAAAAGATGCTCTACCTTGTATGAGACCAGAAAAATGCAAATTAAGATGCAGCATCATTTTACATCTATTAGCGTGGCAAAAATCAGAAAGCTGGATAATTCTAGTGTTGGCAAAGATGTGAACTGCTACTAGCGATGTAAACTGGTACAGCCATCCCAGCAAATTAAGCATATGTAGCCCGTATGAGTCAGCAAACTAACCCACAGATATACATCCTCTCCCAGGAGATACCATGAAGTAACCTGCTGGAGGGTATACAGAACAAGAGTATCTGTGGCAGTGGGGAACAGGAGGGTAAGCAAAATATATCTAATTACTGCCTAGAATCCCAGAGCATAACAAGCCCAAGTACACACTGCAACATGTTTACATCGAGAGAAACCGAATGAGAGGTACAGAATGGTATCATTACGTATATTTTAAAAAGCTGTCCACAAAACAACTACACACATTTTTCAAGGCCACATCCAGAAAAAAGCCTATACACATTGAACACAATAGAATGGAGTGGAGCGGGGAGAGAAATGGGAGTGGAGAATGAGGATAAAAAGGAACTCATGAATAAATAACGAAGGGCCCAGCTCTAACCAGTGATGACAAGCCATGCACTCTGAACTGTGATTAACGTATCCCTCTACATCTGAGGTCCTACAACTCCCCACACCCACACGCAAACCAACAATATCATTTCAACTACACAACAAATGTGGGTGAACTGGATGAGAGCTGGAAGGTAACACAGAAATATGAAAATAGTTCATTCACATGGGATTTACTGACTTTTAAGTATTTCTTTTACATTATTTTAAATTAAGAACCAAGAAAAAAAATAAAAGATGCTGCTATTAGTATCCTTTTCTAGTCATTTGTAGAACCAGAGACACCCTGAAAAATCCCTCTGCTGTAAAAAATGACCTCCCTTCAGTCAGGTGACCACATCTAAATTACTTCAGGAAGATAAGGCTGTACTGACTGTGGTTTTCAGATCTCCAAATTCTGCAGATCAGGAGATTCCACACAGCCTACTGAAAAACCCAATCACAGTATTTTACAACTCTTATCATCTACCTGGTGTTCATTCTTGTTAATATCTCAGCTCCACTCTCTGTCCCACACTCCTGTCCTTCTCTTTGTCACCATAAACAGCTGTCCCTTTAGTTCCTCGTGCTTTCAGCACAGTCTCTTCATGTCCTTCTGTGGGTGCTTCCTACTTCTAGAACCTAAGCTGCTGTTTCCCATCTGTGGCAGCTACAGCCCATGGCCTTCCATACGCTGTGCATAATCATCTCTGGTCCCAATGGGGGCACTGTTGTAAGCCAACAAATCATGAGAGTTTCCATACTGTTCAGCTGCCAAAGAAAGACAGGTGCTGGCTGAACCTTTCAGGATAAACTTAACTATGTACACCTGAATTAGTATAAAAATTACTTTCCTTTGGCACAAGTGGGTATGCCAGAAAAATGGCAATCACAGTAGTATTATTAAAAGAAAACAAAAACCCGCCAGAGTCTAAGATTTTGAAATACTTGAGGTAAAGACCGTAATGTACACATCTTTGGGCATCCTGTGCCTTAATATGATACCCGTTATATATGCTTGCATGAACTTTCCAATATAGATCAATGAGCCTGACAAGTCTGATGGTGGGCAACATTTTCACTCATAGAGCATCACACCAGGAAAATCATCGGAACCAATCAAAGCCACAACCCGAACACTAAGTTTTACAGTTGACTGAATACAGAAAGCAGAGAAGTAACTGGCACATTCTAAGGACCCAAATGTCTTCATATCAGTAACGCCCAAGGAAAGGTTTCATATTACTTCCTAAGTATTTTCTTGCAGTAAGTTTTCAAGATGGCCGGCTGCTTGTCTCAATAAGCGAAGTCCTGGATACCTTATCTAGATGGGTTCTGCAGCACATGGTCCACAAGGCACTGGGGAGAGTGGGGAATAGACCTGAGCCTCCTTGGAAAGAGCTCCTTTGCTGTGCTTCAGGAGGGGGCTGCACCTCCAGCAGTTCAGGTGAGGACTCAGGGCCATCCACAAGGATGGAATTCTCTCTCAATGACACCTGACACCTCTACTTCAAGCTTTAGGCCTCCTCAGGCCCTTTACACCTATCCAAATTCGGAACCTCCCCCTACTTACAAAAACCTGAAGCAAATGATGTAAAAGTATCTACTGCCAGAGGAGAAAATTGGCCAGGTGATCCTCAGAAGCCATTCAGAACAAAGCAACTATACCTCCTGTTTGCCCCCCAACTTTGAAAAGTTTCAGAGCCAGTTTTTCCCACCCAGTAAGAATGTAACTGGGACAAAATTGACCAAAACCCTAGAAGAATGAAACATAAGCCCTTCTGCCTAACCTGTCTCGTTTCTCATAAATCCGGGAGGGGCCGAAACAGGGAACGGGGAGAACCTGTGTTGACCTCAGGTGGACCTCATGCCCTGCCCACAGCCCTGCTTCTTCCTCCCTTCCCAGCCCACAGGAGGGCCAGGGGTGTCCAGAAAACAAGGCTCTTGCCTCCTGCATCTGAGGAGATGCTAGATATGTTTACAGAAAGACTCTTCTCTCTCCATGTGTTGGGGCTAAAAGAGGGTGATGTTCAGGAGAATGTCCAGGGCCTGAAAAGGCATAAAAGTCGAATGTAAAGGAATCCTTTCACTAGGTGATCTGTGAAGTCGTGGAGCTTACAGCTGCCAAGAGAATATCCGAGGTTTGAGAACAGAACCTAAGGAAGGCTTAGATTTGGGGGGCGGGGGCCGAAAAGAAGTGTGGCTGATTGGCAGGCGGGGAGGATTGAAAAGATAGGAAAATGAGTGTAATGTCACAAAGGCGTGGAAAAAAGTTAAAGGAAAGTTGTACTGACACTGTCAAATGTTACCCTGAGGATGAGAGATGGAAACCTGGAAACAGGTAACTGGGAGGTCACAGAGGTCCTGAGGTGAAAGTGGAGGGATCTCAAGACAGATGGTGTTAACCCTATCAGTAAAGTTATTTGCTAAAATGTAAGGAGGTGAAGACAGGACTGGGGCGTTAAGGGGTTGTGACATTTGGAAGAGTTATTGTGGCAAAGATCAGGTTTTAATAAAATGAATACCGAAAAAAGCAACAAGAAGCAGCAGTAAGGGTTCCCCCAGGGGTGGGTCTCAACATCAGGGTGACAGACCATGCAAGAAATCAGCCAATCCCCTGCTGTCATGGCCACCTATGGGGTTAGGACATGCAAGCAGGGCAGCAAGAGCTCGAGGAGTGGTAGGTGAGGGGCACCGAGACGGGGTTAGGAGAATGACATGATGTGTTAGCTTCCTATTGCTACCGTAAGACATTACCACAAATCTAGTGGCTCCAAATAAAAAATAGACTCAAACGTACTATCTTACAGTTCTGTACGTTCCAAGTCTGACATGGGTCTCACCGGGCAAAATTCACGGCGTCAGCAGGCAATTCCTTCCGGAGGCTATAGGGGAAGACCGGTTTCCTGGCCTGTTCACCTCAGAAGTAGCCCACGTTCCTCAACTCAAGGTCCCCCCCTCCATCTGCAAAGCCAGCAACACCAAGCCGTGTGATCTCATGCTGCCGTTTCTCTAGATCTCTCTCTTCTGCCACCCTCTTTCACTTTTCAGAAACCTCTTGTTTATACTGGGCACCTGGATAATCCAGGATGTGCGCCTCCTTCAGGTCAGCTGATTAGCAACCTTAATTCCATCTACAACCTTAATTCGCCTTTGCTGTGTAACCTGACAGGTTTTGGAAATTAGGACACGGATATCTTTTGGGGAGGGTGGGAGGGCATGAGGGCATTATTCTGCCTACCACAGGTGGAGAACAGGTTTATGGGAAAAGATAAAAGAGGTTCAGATCCAAAGAGGGGATTTTTGAGGATTCAAGCAGTGATCTCAGGTGTGAATGTGAGTGTGCTGGGGAGAAGGGGGTTAGGGGAAGGTGGATGGAGGTATTCAGGAATGCAGCTCTGGTTATATGTTTCAGTTCTGGAAAAATTCCAGCAAGAATGAGACAATATCAATGTCACTGAAACCAGAGCATCTGGCTCCTGGCACAGACCCCTGGGGACTGAGTGAAGTCAGGACAGTGGACATTATCCATTATTGTACCTGAAAACAGAAACAAAGAGATACCTGTGAATTCCCTGGATTCCATAAGCTCTACATAGATAGAGGAAGGATAGAGAAGTCAATGTGTAGCTTTGTTTTTTCTATTATCAACTATCTGAACAAGCACAAACAGAACGTTGAAAATTATCAGGTTTTC